ATGTCATCTGTTTCAGAAAATGCTGTGCCTCTTCAAAAGTTCTCTGGCCCACATATGGTAAAAAAAATACGACCGTTCTGAACTGATGATTCACAAACATGGCAGCAATGGTGGTTTGAAGGTAAGCAAAAGAAAATATTCAAAAACATCCACATATATTTGTGGACCACACACGTATCTTAAGGCACAAGCATAAACAATCATATACGCATACTCATGCATGACAATCTCGCAGCTAAAAGAGCACATTAATGCACTTCTGTATGAGTGATGATGAGCCATCTGATAATCAGACAGGCCACAGGGGGTGGGAGAAAAAACGGTAAAAAAGGATAAACACAAGGTGATTTATGACCAACAGTTTTGTTATGGCTGAGATCAGATAGGGATCATCTCCCAGTCTATTCAGCTTTAAAAAATAGTCTGACGACTGCCTTCCACACCACCAAGTTCATTCAGAACAGGTAAATAATCACAGAAATGACATAAAAAATTGTTCACGAACGCTGTTCTGTAACAAAAATACTAATATTGGAAATAGTAAGTAATATAATTAATTGTAAGAAAGAAATTATGGTTAAAAAATGAACAAATGTGTATTATGTAATATATTATTTATGTGTATGCTAATGTAAGCACCTTGACAAATAAGAAGTAAAGTAAATGTAAAACATTAATTAGAAATAAATGTTTAATATAATTGTTATAAACCAGTAAATAATAATGTAAATATTATAAATAATAATATTTTAATATTTTCCAATTAATTAAATAATAAAATTAACGATGGCGTTTATAATAAATATTCATATATGTGATTAATTTAATTTAATGAATTAAAAAGCACATCATGCAATTAATTTGATTACATTATTTAATCAATCAACAGCCCTAGTAAATTATAATAAGACAAAACCAGTGACGGCACCACAAACCTCAGATGTTTAAGTCGTACGTCTCATCTGTAACGCCCCCATGGGAGCTGCTTAAAGTTCCACTCTTTAACTCCACCACAGAGCAACAAATTCAGCTCCGCTTCCTGTTTCGGACCCCCCTGGGGGAGGACGGTCCCATGGGAAAACGTGTTGTTTGTGCTTTTACGAGAGCAAAAACATCAGCACTGCAGGGGTTTAAACCTTGTCATTCGTCATGTCGCTGCCTCTTGTAAAACTTACAGCGCTGCATCAGTTATAGGAATAAAAATGCTGACTGGTCCAGTGTCAAAGGTTTGACTTATAGCTCTTGCTATGCACTGCTGGGCTTTCAAAATCAGAGGAGAAATCACTGCCGTGTAAAAGGCAAGTAATGGCACACGGCCTTTAACAAAACCACACATGCAAAAAGCTGCTAGCGTAGCAGAGAATGTAACACTCAGCAAATACGGGGGAAAAAAACTGAAATGTTGATAATAGCAGGGTTGCAGTTAGCAAGGCAGGGTGCATTTAATCTAATAATTCAAATATCATTCCATTGCCTCTGACACAGGGTTTCCTACACTTGCAAAAGACTGCATACCACCCCATTAAACTGTGGGGCAGCCAACAGTTGGCCTACTGTGACAGTAATGCAGCTGGACACACTGGAGCTCTTTCTCAGGCACACATTAAAGGGCTTCTTGGACAACTTTACACTCAAACTAGATTTTTGTTTTGTTTATTTACTTATTTAAAATATGGTGCAAACCCAGGCAAAAGTTGCTGCTGTGATGCTAGGGTGTTATAAAGACAAGAGTTAAGCTATTCTAAGTATTTGTTAGGATGTTTCTATAGATAGATACAACAATAGATAGAACAACAGACAGACAGAAGAACAGATAGAATGAAAGATAGACAGAACGACAGCTAGAATGTTAGAACGATAGATAGATAGAGAGAGAGATAGAGATAGAGAGACAGACAGAACGATAGATAGAACAATAAAACACAGACAGATAAGACAGACAGACAGAATGACAGAACGATAGATTGAACGATAGAATGAACGTACGATAGATAGATAGATAGATAGATAGATGGTGCGGAATTAGAGCAGGGGGTTTAAAAACAGCAAAAAAAACAGAGAGAAACAAAACGAAAGACAGAAGCCGGGGTTCCATCCAAAGTTGCGAATTTAACTTGTGCGCAAAACTGGAATATCGCATAAAACATTTGCGAACAAGTATCCAACAAGTCAAAGAGAACAAAATCGTCACTTCCTGATAAACTGACAGAATGACAGAACGATAGATTGAACGATAGATAGACAGACAGACAGACAGACAGACAGACAGACAGACAGACAGACAGATAGATAGACAGACAGACAGACAGACAGACAGACAGAACGATAGATAGAACAATAAAACACAGACAGATAGACAGACAGACAGACAGAATGACAGAACGATAGAATGAACGATAGAATGAACGTACGATAGATAGATAGATAGATAGATAGATGGTGCGGAATTAGAGCAGGGGGTTTAAAAACAGCAAAAAAAACAGAGAGAAACAAAACGAAAGACAGAAGCCGGGTTTCCATCCAAAGTTGCGAATTTAACTTGTGCGCAAAACTGGAATATCGCATAAAACATTTGCGAACAAGTATCCAACAAGTCAAAGAGAACAAAATCGTCACTTCCTGATAAACTGTCACTATAAATCACTAACAAAAGTAGGAGAATATAATAATTTTCATATATAAAAAATTACTTGCGCCTCAGAGCGAGCAGACGAAACACAATGAATGCGGTCATTGCTTTTGGAGGTGGATGCTGCTGTTTGGAAACGCAGTCGTGCAAGACATTTCTGGGAGGCAATTATACAAAAATACTTTGATGACAGACTTTGCTTGTGCATTTCCGAATGACCAAAACAACATTTCAGATGCTGTGAATGAGATCGGTCCGCTGGTTAGTCAGGTTTTGCCATCCCATAGCCCAAAGTCACATGACTTTGTTGATGCGCTTGGAGGAATTTATTCACAAGATGCATTTCCATCTCCAGTTATTCGCATCAACCCTTTTTCGCACAAGTCAAAAACCACCTCAAGCGAGGGTAAAATCTTTTTTGTGAATTAAGGGATTTTTATTAGAAATTTGGCGTTTCCATCACTCGTTTCTTATGCGATACTTCAAAATGCGCATTAAAATAGGGCTACGGAAACATAGCTAGAGAGAGGAGACACCAAGCACAATTGGATGGGCTGAATTACATCTGCCCGCAAGCAATGCCACTCCAAAAAAAGTTCATGTCCGAAAATAACATCCCAAAGCTGGTTTGAGTTAACCAAGCAAAGCTCCGAGGCTCACAGGGAGGAGAAGACGGCTGCACGATGACAGGGTGGCTGTCTGAACTGGGCGGCACAACTAACAAGTCAAGCACCAAGCTGCGGACCGGCTGTGCTGGCGGTTTAGAAATAGAAGGCACAAGAAAAAAGAAAAAAACAACAACAAAGGGCCTTGCAAACAAACTCTTGGCTAAATAAATAGCCCAGAGAAAAAGCTGGTCTGTCATTGTGAGACATTTTAAGCATGAAAAATGCAGTGTCAAATGAGTGACTTTACCTTCCTAGTCATAAGCCACATTTGATGCTAACAATAAACATTTTAGTCATAAACTGACTGTTTCAGCGCATCCTGAAAACTGTCCTAAAAACCACACAACTGTAAAATTCTAAAATGTAACCATGACCTTGTTCAAATAGGCAGCAAAACTGCACTGTCTTTGCCTATAAGACTCAAATCATTTTTGTTTTTCCTATTTCTGAACATGAGAAACTTACATGAAATCATTTTTTTAGAAGTCTTATTAAAAAAAAAAAAACCTAAGTTGTTTGAAATCTGATTAAAATAATTTTTTATGAAATGTCTCAGTTTGAACAATCCGACATAATTATTTTCTTGTAATTTGTTGTCATTAAATGTACCCGCAGTGACAACAGCAATAAACATTTATTATGCACTGAAAAAAATGACTTCTTAACGAGAGTTTAATTAGTCTTTTGACTTGTTTTCCATTAAAAAATCTAACAGTCTTTAAAGCAAGATAAATTTACTTGAGCAACACAGGATAAGATATTAAGACTTGTTTATAGACAATGCATTTTTAATAAGGTTATTTTTACTTGGTTTCAACTTAATAAATGAAAATTTCTTCTATGAAACACAAAAGAATACATTTTCAGAAATGTCAGTGTTTTTTTTTTTCTTCAATGGTAACCAAAACAGTTCAGCTACCAACATTCTTCAAAATGTCTTTTTCTGTTTTCCACAGAAGTCTGGTTTAAAAACGACACGAGTGTGAATGATGACCTTTAAAACAAATCCAAAGTGACTTACACTGCATTCAGATATACATTTTATCAGTTCACCCATTCCTTGCCATTGCTAGCACTATGCTCTAGTATTTGAGGAGCTACAGGAATGGAAGACAAACATAAAAGGAAAACAGAATATGATGAGAATTGATGATATAGCGTCCACCCTTTCCCGTTTCCTAATACACTTAGATTTGTATACTGCCCTCATGTAAAACCATGTACAACCAACATGGAAGTGATAGCAAAAGCACTGAAGTCTAAACTGAAAAAAGGCTAAAGTTGGTCTGAAAATAAATGTATTTGCCCTGCAGTGTGAACAAAACCCATGTGACCACAACAAGGTAAGCGGTACTGATGATGACTGCCATCTGAAGGCCACAATGGCGTCCATCAATCATCGCTCCCACTTCCTTTCCACCAGCTCACACCATTCACACCCCGGCCATGCATACATCTCATCTACTCTGAGATCTCCTCTAATCGAGACCGATTACACCCCAGGCGGGTCTCCAGTCCATCTCCATCATTCTAATTGACACTCGGCCCGCGCGGGAGCGGCGCGTTCCCATGCATCAAAGGTAAAGAGTCGACACGTGCGTTATTGCCGGATAGAGTAAAAAGCGTTTGACATTCCAGCCTTCCTCTTGAAACGCCATGATCATCTTTCCTTCATGACAACCCTATCTCCATTTCCACCTCACCTTTCTCTTCTTTATTGTCCTCCTCTTCTTCTTCGTCTTCATCATCATCTTGTTGTTCTTCTTCCTGGTTCTCATCCTCACCTTCCTTGTCATCCTCAACTTCTCCCACCCAAACCTCCTCTCCATACACCTCTCTCTGTCCATCTCTTCCATCTCCAACGATACCCTGTGCACCTCTGGGACTGGTGCAGCATCCTGACTGCAGCAGGGACTGATCAGACAGGCTCAGACTGGACGTACAGGCCCGAGACGTACAGCAGAAGTGAGACATCCATTGCCTGAAAAGCGAAGAGGTCCGACTCGGTCTTGTCGCCCCTAGGCCGGCTCGTCCTGTGCGGTCGTACGGACGCGATCGCTTCCTCCTCTGCCACGTGCATCTGGCCCTAGTCCCGGCACATGCCTTCCTGACCGTCGAAGCGAAATCCATAATCCAAGCAAGTGGTTTTCCTTGCTTACAGCTGGGGTCCTGCTCCACAGGAGAACGGTGAGAAGGGAGAGTCTGATCTGTTCGATTTAAGGGCCCTTGCAGTCGCAAGGACTCGGCGGAAAATGAGCACCCTGCTTCTTTTCTCCTTCAGAACAGTTTGCGGCTGTCAGTGAATGGGGAGGAGAGGACTTTGACGGTGGTTTGGTTGCTCTGCTGAGCTTCAGAGAAACCGCTGGCTCGAGCTTTAACAGGAACCATGAGGAGTCTGAAGAGTCGGAGTCCAAACACCACAAAAGGAGGGAGGGAGCGAGCGAGAGCAGCAAGAAACCACTAAACCCATCGTTCTGTGTTCCTGGCTCAGTGCAGTTAAAAATGTTGGAAGGGCATGTGTTGCAAGCACAAGCAGAGAATGAAAATAACGTTAAACGAGAGTTTAGGAAAGGGTTAGGCTTACCGGTCCAGAGCATATCCAGGTCAAGAATCCCGGCCAAGCCAGAAGTGACTTTGAGGAAAGCCAGCTTCTGGTTTCCAAAAGAAAAGGTCCCCCTTTTCCTCTAGAGTGCATGTACAGACTGTAACGTCATTAACATCTTCGGGACCCGAGATAAGAGATGGTCACGATGACCCCAAACAAACAGAGAGGAGAACAAAAGTGACAGGCAGGAGCGAAGCAGAAAAACAGATGGTAGTGCTTAACGAAGTGTGCAAGGCTGGGGGTCGGGTTACGCTGTTGTTGGTCACAGGCACGGGGCTGTTTAAACCAAAGGGGCCGGGGTCGCTCCTCTCTGACCCATACGGCCCCGAGAGATGTATTCTATTGGGGGTGAGGGTGTTTGGTCCAAGTAGGTCATGTTTCACTGTAACCCCAAAACGCTCAATCATTTCAGACTTAGATGGCCTCCACTCCAATCAGATATTCCATCCCTGACCTGAACTGGCTCTAAAACAGGATTTTATTTATTATTTCAGTCCCACTTTATATTAGGTGACCTTAACTACTATGTACTTGCATAAAAAAATAAGTACAGTGTACTTATTGTGTTCGTATTGCAAAACACTTCTTTTGAAGCTATTGAGGTAGGATGCGGTTAGGGACAGGTTTGGTGGTATGGGTAGGTTTAAGGGTGGGTTAACGTGTATGGGATAGGTCAACAGTGTAATTATAAAAATTGTAATTACATGCAGGTATTTTTTAATATACAAGTACAATGTAAAAACATGTATGTACACAATAAATGCTTTGTATCAAATGATTAATTTATGTGTAAGTACATTGTAGTTAAAGGAGAGAGAGACAACAATCAATATAAACCTCTATACTCATCAACACACATTTCTTCAAGAACATTTGTATGCCATACTTTCTTTTTTCGAAACATTGCTGTTAAGTGAATACAAAGCTTTTATAGTACTGCTAACAACTGTGTAAAAAAGGAAAGGGGGTCTGGGTCAGTCAGTCTATTGAGAAATGTACAAAAACCAAATTGACATTCAGGGGATGTTGTCCATTGCTAGAAAATCTACAGCTGCAATGCAGACGCAACACAGAATACAACATCAAAATAATGCAGTGTGCTTTAAATGCAGATGTGTTGATGCGGTTAAAATGAGGTTTCATACTCCGCCACGTCTCATAGCTTTGATTTAAAATCGCTTCAAAGAACTGCAAACACATTAAGGAAAAAAATGAGACATGACAAACGTAAAGACAACTGACAAATGCTACTGCTCTTTTTTATTCTGAGAATGAACCTACTAAGAAGCTTACAGAGTTCTGACTCCTTAACCTACATGACACAACTACAACACTTCCTACTGACTTCCCGTGACAGAAACCCTGAGAGAACACTGAAACGGCGACATGTGGTACAGAGAGAAAGACAGACTTCCCACATACTCTAAAAAATAAATGAATAAATAAATAAAACATGCACATTATGGGAAAAGTGACGTTCCGGATTCTGGCATCTTCTGTGAAACTATCTTGCCAAATCAAGTGTGAGCCTGGACAGTGGGAAACACTTGAGTGTAAATAACCTAAGAATCAACAGCTGAAAACAAGAAAAGAGACAGCCCTACTTCCACTGGAGGGGAGAAATCTATATTTAAGAATACAAAATTAAGGAGAACACTGGTCCGATTTTTTCAAGTTTCTGGATTCTTGGATTTAGAGTGCACTGTTACAGTACATACTTGTCTAACATGTTTTGCAATCATTTATGTGGTAATCCACAGCATGCAACACTTGTTGATTGAGTTTAATGGCTTTGTTGGTCATCATTTACTCACCTTCATGTTGTTCCAAACCTGTATAACGTTCTTTCATCTGTGGAACACAGAAGATATTTTGACGAACGTTTCAAGTATTTTTGTCTTTACAAAGAAAGTCACTGGGATGTCACCCCACTGACTTTCACTGAATGGACAAAAAAAAAAAAAAACACTGAGATGTTTTTTAAAGGAATAGTTCCCCCCTAAAATGAAAATTTTGAACCAAACAAGTTGTTGGTCCCAATTGACTTCCATAAGTAGGGGACAAAATACTATGGAAGTCAATGTGGACCATCAACTGTTCAGTTACCAGCATTCTTCAAAATATCTTTTTTTATGTTCAACATAAGAAAGAAACTCATACAGGTTTGGAACAACATGAGAGTGAGTAAATGATGACAAATTTTCGTTTTTTGGGTGAACTACCCCTTTAAACTATCTTTTATTTTTCATAGAAGAAAGAAACGTTTTGAATGACAGGACAGTCAGTAAATGACTGCAAATTTTTAATTTTTTGGTAGAACTATATCTCTACATTTTAAATAACCTCAAATATTTCTTAAAAAATTCGAAAAATCTAATTTCTGGGCCTGCCACACTTATTACTCAATCATAATTATTACATAATCATCAAATAATCAAAAATGACTTGAGATATCTACATAATTGCGCACTTTACACTTCCAGACGGATTTTATCGTCCAAGAATTTTTAAGCAAAAGAGAAAAATATTTTGAGAGTCCCTCATTCCAGTGCAAATAGTGAGGTATGTGAACGCTCCAAAATATGCCTTTGGGCATTTTTTTTATTAAAGAAAAGTACTAGTCAGAATGCTTCAGACAAACAGGAGAAAATACACTTAGACTTGTGTGAAAAGTAAATTTGTAAGGATATAAAAGATTTGTAAGGAAGTAAAACAGGGTTTCCTCATGTGATTTCAATGGTCCTGTGCCATCTGTTGGATTTGTATAAGATAATAACAAGAGCACATACGCCAAATGTTTAAATTAAGATGCAGCCAAATGAGCTAGTATTAACCCTCATATAAGAAACAGTTTTTTGTCTATTCCAGACTGAGTAGGTAGAGGAAGTCTTGGCACATAGAAAGCATTAACCCACGTCACAGAAGGTGTGAGTGATTTCGTGGCAGCTCTGGAAAGTGACAAGCGTTGTATTTTAAAGATATCCTTACGATTACCAGACAGCCTCCCACATGGACAGGTCTAAAGATGACAGATCTTCAGCGATCTGTTACTAATATAATGACAGCGCTTCTCCAATCCTGCTCATGCTGTCATACGGTTTCACATTCGCCAGCGCCAGAACACTTCCTGCTAATACAGGAAACCCAACACTCATTTACAGGAAGACACCTTTAGAGGATCCCAGTGTAGACAGAGGAATCTATGTTGTGATTGGCTGAGATGACAGAATGTTTATGGTAATGTTGCATAACATAGTTTTTGCGGAGTGAATTTAGACTCCTCTGGGGTATAACATTGAACATTGTTTAAAGGTACAATTGCACAACTTTGTTTACATTTAGATGTCCAGGTTGACACGAACTTGGATATTTTGCAGTATTTGCTGAGCTCTGTGGACAATCTTGTGCAAATATCTCCAAATAGTCAAAAAAGCACACATTTGCTTTAGAGCCACTGATTGATGTTTGCTTAGTTTTGATCTGAAGTGCTCAGCATTGGGTTCATGGGTGATGAAATACTGATTTGCGAGACATGAGAAAAAAATCAGAGGTATTAATTTAGATTGAAATTACATTCTCACAAAATGTGTTTTCCTTGCTATATATCACTTTGTCATATACAAAATAAATGTGTACTGTCATGTTAGAATTAGCATTTATTTCAATAGAATTTATTTCAATTAATGAAGGAATTAATAATACACTGATAAAGCAAAAACTGAAAAATAGAGGTATTAAGATTGAAATTACATTCTCACAAAATGTGTTTTCCTTGCTATATATCACTTTGTCATATACAAAATAAATGTGTACTGTCATGTTAGAATTAGCATTTATTTCAATAGAATTTATTTCAATTAATGAAGGAAGGAAT